TGCACCACAGGGCTCTTTGGAATGGGTCATGGAGACCCAGAAAGTGAGATAAGTCAGGAAAGTCAGGAGAGGGTGGAGGTTGGGCCGCACCTGGCCAGGCCTGGGGCAAGATGCCAGAAACTTCTGTCATCCCCAGGCCACCCGGGACCTTGCCCAGTACGACGCGGCTCATCACGAAGAGTTCAAACGCTACGAGATGCTCAAGGAACATGAAAGACGACGCTATCTGGAGTCACTGGGAGAGGAGCAAAGAAAGGAGGCAGAGAGGAAGCTGGAAGAACAACAGCGCCGGCACCGAGAGCACCCCAAAGTCAACGTGCCCGTGAGGACCCTCACTCTTGCCATCGTCACCATGTCCAGCTCTCTAAGCACCAGACATGAGAGCGGCTGAAGAACTACAACTCCCAGCAGCCTCTGAGGCAAAAGGGCCCCTGTGAATGTACCTAGCTGCCCCTGGGGCTGCTGGAAGTTGTAGTTTTCTTGTTTGAGGGGCAGGCCATCTGGGAGACAGGGCCAAAGGGTTCTTTCTAGCTTTAACCCCTAGGCCCCAGCCCCGACTTCTTGATTATGACCCCCCGAATCTTCCGTCCACAGGGCAGCCAAGCCCAGTTGAAGGAGGTGTGGGAGGAGCTGGATGGACTGGACCCCAACAGATTTAACCCCAAGACGTTCTTCATACTGCACGGTAAGGTGGGAGGGAGCCCCAGGACCCCGGCTGAGCCCTGTAGCTCCAACTCCCCTGGGGTCTGACTGCTAAGGGGACACTTCCTCATCCCAGTGGGGCTTAGTCAGGTCTAGCAGGTTGAGTGCATCTCCGCTGGTCGACCAGAAGCCCTTGCTTCCCTGTTGCCAGGGCCAGAATCTTCTATGGAGAGGCTCAGCCTCCTTCCCGGGATGAGACTGGCTGGCCTCTGCTGTCTGAGTGAATCAGGCTCGGCTAGGCCCCAGCCCCCTCCCATGACAGTCCAGAAGCCCTAGACCCTTCTGAGAGCCTTATGGCTAAGGGATGGGCTGCTCGCTAGTAACTAGGCCTGCAAAGGCCTGGGAAGGCGCTTCTCCACGGGAGTCAGCGGCTTGGTCCCCTTCAGGCATTTTCCATCTAGAAATACGCCCTGGGACTGCCAGTGTCCCCTGAGGTTTGCCTAGAACTTGAGCCAGAACCTGTAACCTATCAGTGGATCTTAACAAGGCCAGATTGATTCATCCAGCAAACAAACACTTACTAAGCTTCCTTCAAGCACCAAGGTTTGAGATCCTGTGGATACAGCCGTGAACAGGGCCAAGTTTCGCAGACCTAGTGATCTAGCAAACAGATAATTGTGTACTTCAGCAAGTCTAAATCTCAGGATGCATCAGAGTTTTACATAAGCAACCAGTTAAACTACAGCAATACCTATGACAGGCGCTCTGGTGGCACAGTG